ATATGATGCTTTAAAAACAGTTGAATACGGCTGAACTGATAGAAAACTTCCATGTGTAAAGATGAATGACCGGTACTAACTATTGCAAAATATCTATGAAATGTACTAGTTTTTAAAGTTTTAGGGTAAATATAAGACACATTTATTGTAGAATTGTATAAACGCCGCTTCCATTTCTCCACTGTAACAAAATTTCTATTACCGAACAAAACTATTAGTATTATTTTTATCAACCCATCCTCTCTATTACTCATCTAAAAGACCATCATCACAGTAATAAATTTGATATTTTACTAGAGAGTATAAGTAATATTTCACCTCATTAACATTATGATTCTTATTCTTTCACTTGTCCAATTTAACTACGTTTTATTTCTCAAATAAACCTCCAGGAAACATTATTGTATAATGATGGGTTAAATACTTTGAGGTAATTGGCACGAAAAACTGAACATAAATTTTATCCTAGTTGATACTTGTCAACAACGTGTATTTTGAATCGTGAAGAGACCGATCCGGGATGTGAAATTCAAACTCGCTTCACTCAGTTGCACAGCCAAACAGATATTATTGTTGAGCTTTTCGAATGACTACTACTATCTTAATGTAGGATTGACGTTTTTTACATAGACTGATCATCAGAGCAAAGGACTAGACAAACCCGTTGTTAATTTACTACTCAATGATCAGTTAGTGTACTATGCACTTTGGAAAGGCTTTTACATGAAAGAGAGTCACATAACTAAAATTATGTTGCAAATAATCCTTAAGTTGATAATTTAATTGGTCAGTGTTTGTTTAAAGTATTGGTTTTCTTATAACGGTGATTGACTGTAAGATAGTTCTACTAACCAGTAAAACTCAAGTGGTACTAAAAAATAAACGATTATGTATTTACTTCACTAACTACTTAACAATGAAGATAAATTTAATGATGGTTACGTAAATAAGATGATTTCATTATATATATAATAAAGAAGTTATTTCTCTCTAGCTTGCCATAACATTTAAGGGTTGTGTTCATTTGAATATAAATGTATTACTTGTTACGCATACAATTCCAATAACCTTTTAAAACGTTATTCTGGGTTTAAATAAATAAATGAGTACTTCAGATCTTAAAGAAAATATTATCTTTTCACTCTCTGAAGTAGTTAATACAATGGAAATACTGAGGTTTCACGTAACACTAACAACTTCTCGTGGATGATTCAAACATAAATGAAAAATGTACGAGATCTAATGTGTATGGATGACCTTGTTTATAATATGATCAAATCGAATAAATAAATTAAGCAGTCAATCTCGTTCGTTCTTAGATGTCTGTTAGTTAACATTTATGCTATGCATTTCGGATGGAGAATGTGATTCAATAACATGCAATATGGTGTTGATAAATGTGTTACATTGTTCAAAAACATAAATACAATTTACATGCTTCTATACCAACCAATTTTAATACGATTTAATCTTATTTAAGAAATGTTTTACGAATTTAGTGTCTGCATATAAGAAAGTATGTTATATCGCTGAAAAGAAAGTTAGTTAGTTAGTTCAAAAAAGCATCTCATTTTTCAACAACCTGAAACTATGTCAGCTTATTTTACATGAGTAAATGTAACATGGAATAGCGTTTTCATGTACCAATAAGTATAGAAATCCATATACACATAGAATTATTGATGAATATGGAAACATCACATTTCATTGTGTACAATCCATACTAAAATACACACATGAATTATGATTAGTTAATAATAGAAAAAAAACAAGAACATTTCTGAAATATTTTTTCTAATTTTCTACCCCTTTTCCAATTGTTTTGTTTATTGTATTCATAACAATTAATATTTCACTGTTAATCTCTACTCGTGTCAATATTCAGACAATAAAATACTGTATACCCGTCTTGTTGTTTAAAAAAAAAAATCAATATACTCAAATATATTATGTCATGGTAACAATGTAGATCGTGCTGTTTACTTATCAACATGTGTGTTTGCCATTGTAAGTTAATAATTAAATTGTAGATACTGTTACTGGAGCCATCATTATAAAAGTCTTTATTTTATATAAGATAAAGAATTTAAAGCTTAGTCATGGCTTAGAAATTAAATTTATAATAATCCTTATAAAAGCTTTTTTCACTTGTAATTATTACATAGTTATCTGTAGTATTTTTAGGAAAAAAGAGGTTTTATACAAGTTATTTTTAATTGATTGATTGTTTAAAGGTTTAGTCAATAGCTTATTTATCATTGTTAAGATTTAATTAAATCCTATTGGTCATATATTCAATTTATTAACTTACCTATCTAAGTAATACTCTAAATAATTAAAAGATTGAAATTTATGTAATTCAATCAAAACAATTATCAATATAATCATGAATCATATAGAGTTAAAATATCCTATCAATGTACAATATTCACTCAAAAGTTTTGTTCTAAATGTTTCCTAATAGTTGCTAACTTGTATAAAAAACTGATTTTTATATGTACTATTGGTTTTCTTAAAAATATAAAGTATTAATCTGATTATCAAATTATTGTCATAACAACAACAACCAAGAACTAATTTCGAAAAATTCAATAATGATTATTAATAATGAAAGATACAACTCTTTACTGCTTAAAGTATTCTAATTATTATTGATCAGTGTTAAATGTATCCAGCTGCTTGTATCTAATGATCATAAGCATTGTTCAATGAAATTCAAGAAATATTTATTAATATCAGATGGGTTTTGTGGATATTATAATAATTTCAATGGTTAAGATCATGAGTCAGTTGAAACTAGACCACCATGGAAAACCTGGAATCAATGGACGGCCATTTTGTTCTACTGTATGACTCCTCAGCAGTGCGCATCCACGACCTCGTTCCCGACGAGATTCGAACCCAGGACCTACTGGTTTCGCGCGCGAGCACTCAACCACTGAGCACTAAGCCGGCATCCAACGATGTTAATGTCTAACTTCAACTGATTCATGATCTTAACCATTAAAATTACTGTATTATCCACAGAACCCATCTGATATTAATCAACATATATTCACTAGTGACTGGCCTCACGAAGTATATCCTGGAGTTCTAGTGAGAAGTCGTGACCAGTGAAGTTCAACCAGGTCTGTTGTGAGATAGTAACTCACTGATGACAATAGTAGATGTGTCGCTCAATTTTGTGGATTAGTTGAAGTTAGACAATAACACCGTTGGATGCCGGTCGGCTCAGTGGTCTAATTGGTTGAGCGCCTGGCGCGAGGCTGATAGGTCCTTGGTTCTAATCCCGCAGGGGGTCGGGATCGTGGATGCGCACTGCTGAGGAGTCCCATACTGGGACGAAATGGCCGTGCAGTGCTTCCAGGTTTTCCATGGTGGCCTAGCTTCAACTGACTCATGATCCTAACTTTTGAAATATTTATTACTTACTTTTTGATAAGTAGAAACTTAGTTATGTTTCGGAGTTTACTCCATCAATGAAATAAAACATTTAACATTTTAACTATCTAGTTGCAAGTTCTACTTTGATTTGGTAACTCTTCGAACTTTTCACATACAACGTTTTTCTCTTAATATAATATAATAATATATTCTGAAAATAATAATTACAGAATTCATGCCAAGTTATAAGCATGATCAATTTGACATAAATAGTAACATTAAATAAAGAAAACAAATATGTGATATAAGATTGTTTTAAGTTTGTTAGTTCAAAAATTGTTTAAGTAGCACATTTATGACATGTATAACAGCAATGCAATCCAATGCATTACATGGGAACTTTTAATTCTTCTTAAGTGGATATCTTTTTGATTTATGAACAGCTCATTTAAGGTCATTTCCTGTGCCAGAACTAATTGATGATAATTATCTACAATAATCATTTCAAAAATTAAACGAATGACTTTTGATAAATATAAAATTAACATATTACTTCATTATGTTCACTGATTTATTGAATCTTACTAGTATAGGGGTTGTGGAGATTATTAAGTTTTTGATTGAGATCACGAACCGATTGGTGTTAGACCGCCTTTGGAAACCTGGAGGCACTGGACGGCCGTTTCGTCCCATTGTGGGACTCCTCAGCAGTGCGCATCCACGATCCCGCTCGCGGGATTCGAACCCATGGCCTTCGGTCTCGTGTAAACCTATGTAAAGAAACTACTTTTAATCTATTAATGTTTTATACAATGCATAATTGATTTTATTGACTTTATTTAGAGTATGTTTATTGTTTTATTTAACATTTTGTTTTAGGATTTTGTCATTTCATTGTATATTTTCAGTGTTTGGTAATATATTATGTAATATGATTAACGGGCTATTTTTTTGATCAACTTTACCTGAATAATTCACTAATTGTATAATTTCTACTTAACGTGCATCTTTCATTTTTCCCTTTTAAGGGATCTTAGAGGTCCCTTTGGTTGAGTTGTTTCTGAGTTCAGTAAGAATAGATATATGCTTGAAAACAACATAAGTCACAATTCAAATATTTGTTCCTTTACTGATGCTCAGAGATGAATGATAGTTATGGAAAAATGTATCCATGGCTAAAATACAACTCGTTGAAGACAGAAGATAAAAGGTTTTTTGATATCCAAAAGGTTGATTAAGAATATATTTCAGCACGCTCATTCCTTTGCATTATCTATTAATGAAAATTCAATGTATATATCATTTAATCAAATGCTATAATCAACTGGTCCGTAAATCAAATAGCCAGAATACAGTCGAATATCATACTGAATTAGCGTCATAAAGAATTAATTCATAGTCTCATGCTTGATTTGCCAACAAAACATTAAGCAAATATTTTGGGATATTCTTTTAAAATCATCGGATAAAATCACTGTTCGTTTTTCATAAGATAACACTGACCTTCTAAAACCAAAAGACGTATTTATTTTATTGGAAAAGTTCAGTTTATCGTTTAATGACATAATTTATTTCATGAAACTCTCATCGTTGTTTTTACTATATATTTCTTTCAGAAATTCATGGCTTTGAAATAGGTAAAACAGATTTTAAACCAGAGTTGAAAGCGAATCATGGTCCAAATTTTACTCAAATTACATGTCGTATAAATCGTCCAAAACCGAATGCAGAAGTCTACTTGACATGTCCTGCCTTAGGAGAGAGTACAACACATGAAAATTGTTACCAAGGCTGTCAACCGACCAATCCTTGCACTCAATCAACACAGCATCAGTCTGGATGTGTACCTCATGACCAAACAGTATTTTGTCAGAAAATTGAATTTCCTAATGGTACTGTTGTATTGAATTTAAACGTGGATCGAACTGACAAACGACTGGCAGGATTATGGTCTTGTACACATGCTGGTCTGGAAAGTACCAAGTTTGAGGTAAGATATTTTTGTATGTCAGCTTTATGAATGCTAAGTGAATAGGAATACACAATTTACTGTATGGTATATGGTGTACGGTAATGTATGGAAGCTTATTATGATATATGAATCACACAAATGTCATTCGATTTCTAAAATTTCACTCGATTAACGACCTAACATATTCATGCTGAGTAGCAAGTATCTATCATTTCATACATTTCACCAAACACTTGGAATCCGTGAGAACATTCATTTTTTATTTAAATGAAGTGAAAAAAACTACTTGAGTTGTTTCCCATACAAATTTACGAATAAACCTTTATTAAAAGATTAGGAACAATAATTTAATGAAAATACATAACAAATGTTGGTAAAATAAATAAAGTTATCATTTGTACTTCCACGCATATTGCAATAACTAACCCTTATTACTAATTAAACAGATCAAACTGAAAACATCGTGAAAGCTATTAAATGTCATATTAAAAAGACTTTCTACATCTTATTTATATTTATATTTAACGTCTAAGCATAATATTAGGCCGATAGTGTTACTTTATGGAAGGTTTTAACCTTCACCTAACTATAAACCGTAACCATAAATTTTATCTTCATTTTTTGTCTAACGAGCAGCTTCTCTAGGTATCCCTTACCATAGAAGGACACTAATTGAGAATCTATTGAAACATATAGAGCTTTGAGCATTCGTTTCATTTTATTGCGCAATTCCATAACAATGAATATTCATCAATTCCCATAACACTAAACTCAACACTACTTGGGCCTCTTCTCAAAACTCATAATCAGACAAAGTTCTGTAGCGCATTTTTTAAATTGTAATCACTATTTTAATGTAGTATGACCTTGATTCTACGTCTAATTCTTGACTTAAAGTCAACTAAATCACTCATTCTAAAACTTTATTGATGAGGAGAGTTGTCTCCATAGCTAAACATAACTTTCCATAAAATATCCAGCTCAATAATCACCTTTAACTTGATTTTTCACATTAATAATACTTTTATGATTTATCAAATCAAATCAAATTTAGTAACTTTAATTGTGTATAAGTTTTGCATTAGAAATGTTATCAGCTTTGATGTGAATTATTAGATGAGTTCGATTCTTTTATGCTATGAGCATCATTTTAAATGTTAGTATTGCAAACTTTTCGAGAATTTAAATAAAAAATATAAATGAGACAAACTAAGTTATTTCATCATAGAAAACAGACAAGGGATTAAAAATAAATGAAATATATCTTGGTTACCTTTAGTTTGGAGATTCTTTGTTCATTGATTGATTTGAAGAATTATTGTTCAGTTATGAAATTTAGAGACCCATAATGTTTCAGTTTGGAAACTCTTGTTTAAGATTATAAGTCGTGGTTCGTATGTGAAAATCTAATATTGAGAAACAGGAGTAGTTAGTCATGACTTTTAACTAACAACAGATTGATTAACAAATTTAAACCGACGTCTTCTGAACACTGAAGAGATCAACATTTGGATAAACAAATTTCCATACATGTTTCCATTAACGTTCTATGCTGAAGGTAATGAAAGATATTTCTAGCCGGCTAATGTACATGAAAATGTAAGTATCAAACTATGCGTTACGGCTATGAATATAAATGATATGGTATCGCTCTCTATAGAATGTAAACCCAATAAAGCTTTCTACATAAACTGATATAATCTGGAGAACAATTAAATAATTAGTGTACGGTTCTATAGACGTCCTAAAGTTAAAGTTTTCAATAAATATGTAGTTGATGTGGAATCATGACGAGAATTTTTTATTCAAAATAAGTTGTTATGTTTTGCCCAAACTACTAAGTCACATATTACCACAAAAGGGATATTAACCAAAGGAATTATTAGTGAAAACTCTATCTTTAAATGTTATATCCTTTTTTTACTGAAAGCTAAATCTATGTGAAAACTAGAGGCAATCTTCTGTTTTAGGATGTACGACTTTTGAATTATTCCAATAATACTAAATCATTGAATGTAAAAGCGATATTTATGATAACTAATTACTATCAGGTTAATAGATGGCGTCGGATCGAAAACAAACATCAATATGTAAGAGATAATGCTTTTTTAAAAGGGATATAAAGACAAATTCTTATTTTTAAACCAACTTCCCAACAAATGATTAAGTTATTCTCATACATCTATAAGAAAATTATCGTTAATTATTATTCATCATCAGGATCCAATCCTAAGCATCATAATTCAGCAATGAACACAAATCTTTCAGTCACAATGTTTGATTCTAGCTCTTGATATAATTATACCCAGTCATTTTGCGAAAAATGTGATCCACTCCATTATGTTATAAATCATGCTACCACGTCAGAATATTAACCAAATTATTCGATATCCCAATGTTTAATAAGTTGTGAACACTATACACACTTATTTATAAAAAACGTTGTTCCGCATGTTGGAATAACCTGATACCAAAAGAGAACAACTTTAATTGAACTTCACCTGGTGTTGTTTTACTTGTATCTTACCATTGTTAATTAGGACTGCAATTGATCAGTCTCTTGTTAGCATATGTGCATCCTGTGCGGATTGCCTCTATTTATTGTTAAGTCACAAGCTTTTTAAGCAGAGATGCATAGTGGCTAGCAGTGGAATTCAGTTTGACGCGTGTTTTGTCCTATTTGGGACTCGTCAGTTGGATATACCTGCACCCGAGTTGATGTTCGCCCTGGGACTCGAACCCAGTACCATTCGCTTCAAACGCCGTCACATTATTTAGGTACATCCAGTTGACGATTCCCAAATAGGACGGAACCCTCGTCCTGTATTCCACTGCTAACCACTATCAGTCTTTGTTTAATTGAACTGTTACATATTATTTAAATGCATAATTCATTAATTTAAGAGTGTTTATTAGAAATCATTCTAAATTTATTTTGTCTTTCTTGTTTAAAATCACAGATAGAATTAAAAAGTTATTCAATTATGAATGAAATTAATCCACTTTCAAAACCTGTGGTAAAACAAGAGAAACATGACTCAGGTACAAGTGAGTTCAACTGACAAATTATCAATTTTTATTAAGTTAATTAGAAATTATTATTATTATCCCCAAAGTAATTGAACTTGGGATTTACAATTAATTTAAATAAAATTATAAATATTAACCTGAATTATGCCCAAACCCTTTTTATATTATGAAAAGAAAACAGTCGAAATAAGGTAAAAAAATTTCTAGATTACAGTCATTTTAAACTTTCCAAACTAAAGTTAACCAACTATTGTCAATGAAAATCACCCTTTATATAATCATTTTTTAAGCAGAAATGATAAACCTCCTAGTTCATTGAGTTGATGTAAAGTGGTTGAAGTTAAGAACATATGTCACTGTAACTCATGTCAATATCTCCATACTAAATCATACTCCAAAAAACTTCCAGATATAGGCTTATATTCTAGGATAATTTGAATATGCACATTACAATGTAGATTTAAAGTATCATCAGATAACTGCTGAGTAGCACTTTATTATCAGTAGCGGTTGAATTAATGATGACCTGGGACTATTTTATTTTTATTTTATTTTAACACATAGATATTGGTACTAGGAGGCACCAAATACATATGCGCCACACAAATCTCATTTTATATGTGTGAGGGCTGTGATACTGCCCGGGTGCCCAAACCGACTATTCAATGAGTACTTATGTCCAATGTGTAGATATTATCATCGTCGATTGAGATCATGAACCGATCAACATTAGACTATCATTGAAAACCTGGAAGCATTGAGAGGCCTTTCCGTCTTGGTATTGAACTCCTCATCATTCCACACACGGTACTCGTACGCATGGTCACAACTAGGACTTAACGATCTCCACAAACCTATTTTGATAATTTTCATTTTCACTGTTGTTGACGCTGTTATTATCCTTGCAAACAATAAAGGCGTTATGTGTATACTGACTGAATCCATCAGACAAGATCAAATCTATATACTCTTAGAATAGTGTGGAAAAGAACAAACTAAAAACATTCCCATAAATCAGTTGTCCTGGTATTTTTGTAGAGGAACACACGTCTAAATGTGAAGAAGAAATGGTCACTTTGAACAAAATATGAAAAGTTAACATAACCAGATACTTTTTAAATAAGTTCGTCTATTAAAATGCTTCAGAACGTAGTCAGCTAGACTACTTTATAAGGTTTGTGCTGACTAGAGAATCATATCTAGCGCAAAAGTACATGTAAATTAGTTTGACTGATTTTTAAAGTTAATTACGTACTCAGAGGACATTATTTCATATATTCGTGAATACATACTACCATAATTGTCAAAAAAAATCAAATATATAAATAGCACAGTCTTTTCTCACATATTTGATATTGAGTATACCTCAAATCTAGAGGAATTATTGTCATATATAAGAACTTTTGTCTAAATTTGATCGAATAGTTTCATAGTGTTTGGGCGCCGAGTTGATGTAAGACGTTAAAGAGGAAGAATATATTTGTCAAATTTCAGCGAATGAATTTGAAGCAAATCCAACTTACTTATGCACACAATCTATCATCCCAACACTTTTCTTTTCACACCACATGCCTCTTACACAATAATGCAAATATCCACTTTAAGCATTGTTAATGTTGATTGAATGACCTTTTCAGTATACAGTAAACCAGAGAACCATGTACCTATTTATGTTTGATAATTTTGATGTTTGATTATATTTCCCTGAAAAAGGTTGGACCAGATTACCAGGCGAAACGTTGGATTTACTTCAAATTCATTCGCTGAGATTTTACAATAATTTCTCTTATAAGTTATAACTTTCATGAGGATCTCTGATATATGTCCAATATAGTAGATTTAAACACTTTGGTTTGCAATACGATAGTCCTACTTCTAGTCAAATTGGTTACTTCCATCTCACGTTATACACCCTTATACAAGACCCCTTTTATTTTCTTCACTAGCCTCCTGTCATCTTATGAAATGATCTTAATATCCATTGATATTATTATTACAGTTGATCACTTGATGTGAATATGATAATTAACGTTAAAACTGAACAGTTAATGAGTCAATTTTTATTTCTTTTCTTCTTATTATCATTTTAAGCCCGAGAACTAACTGATTCATCCATAAATTGATCATTATAAAAAGTGAGATTTGACCTGATAAGTAGTTATCTTATTTACTTATACCCATCGTATTTTTCATTTCAACTGCTTTAATCTGACTAATTCTTAGTTACATTTTATTTTTATTTTACATGACAAATGGTGTACACTAACTAAACTTACTTGTTTACTGATCTGCATAACATTGGTGTAGATTATTAACAAAACAAAACTAGACATTGTGAAATGTGTTATGATATGTGAATCAAGATCATTGTGGTGTCTAGATTTGAGTTCAACACAACTTGAAAAAAAAAAACTAGTTGAAAATGTCTGTTAAAATAATTGGAATAACATTGAATTCTTCCTTCGTGATTATTGGTCAATTTTTAGTCATATAGGTGATCAATGCCAAAATTTATCATAGAGTAAAAGACAGAATTTTAATTCATTTTTCATAGTAACGTGTTTTAAGATTTTCTTAAATATTCATTAAACAGTTCAATTAGAGACGATCGCTTTATAAACCTCTTGATAAGATGGTGGTTGGAGGTAGTCAACAGGAAACATTGGACCTAGGTTTCGTGCTACTTTACATCCGTCAGCAAGGCATACCTTTAATCTTGAGGGAACTGATACTCCTTGACGGATTCGATCCCATGTCACATAGCTTCACAGTTGGAGACGTTACCACTGGTACAGGGTTACTGTTAACTACCTTCAACCACAACCTTATCTCAACAACAGTACATGCATTGTCGAGTCAACTAGACTAGTGGACAAATTTCAACTTGGTTGATAGAATTAGATCTACACTAAGAAGAATCTGACATACATGGTACTGATCACTACCCAATGATCAATCAATTGTGAAATCTCTTGATTTTAAACACACCCATAATCATGTGATTTTTTTCATTCACAATAATACTATATATTTATGATGGCAAGAATAATAAAGATTTTATAGCTAAAAATATGAACTTCATTTAGTAAAACAATATCACCACTAATAACGATTAAATCGAGAACATTACAATTAATCAGTTATTCTATTAGGACAGCACATACAAGCGAACAATATTATCTTCAAGTAGATCATCGTCATGATTTACACCAATAAACACGAATGTTTATATGAGTAATATGAAAACAATAAATAGATCAGAGCAGTTTATGAGACGTTAATCAAAATGAACTAGATTGCATAACTACACTTTATAATCAAAAAGTACAAATTAATAGTAAAAGGATAGGTGCACTATTTGTGATAGTAACAAAAAAATAATCAATAGGTCAACATTGGAAGTAGGTCAAACTTGGATAAAGAAAATTATCTAAAATTAAGTAATAAAAAGTGTGTACATAATCAGACGGTGGGAAATATAGACGAAAGTTGGCAAAGAATGGTAAATAAATACAATATATGAACAAATCAATAAAACCGTTTAATAGGTCATATCCAGCCAAAGAATAGACCGTGCTGTCACGAATTTCTTTAAAATACATAAACAAGGGTTATGTGGTTCGGATTCCTATAGCTCCTGATACATGTAGGAGCCGAGAGCGAACAGCATTGGGAAGTGACTATGGTGTGAGATAAATCACTCAAAATGATTCAGTCATATCAACAGTCTGGCCACCGTCAACCGGGTGTCCCAAGACAGAGTTACATATTGCTTTCATTATACCCTTTCCGAAACGAGCTGGAAAATGTCCACTCACCCATCAGTTAAGTTCCCTGGTAATACCCCCAATATATCTGTCTCCACTGGAGCATCGTAAGTGGCAAACCCAAGCAACTGATCTTTTAGTTGAGTAGATATCACTGGTCTACTAAGTAATCTCAATGTAAGACTAACTGCACAAAATGTATTTTTAAATGTCGTCACTAAATTACCAAGCAGCGGAATTCCCGCTGAATTGTAGTTTTAGGAAAAGGGCTTTTTTACAAGCAGTTCATATCTTAAATTTTTTGAAGAAATTTTCGTACAGCCTATTTCCGTAAATGTTTCATTGATAAACGCAGATTGTTTTGCTCTCAGTAGATTTCTTTTGTAGTAGATGGGTGTTAAAATATAGAAGTGTGTGTACTGACTAGCAAAGCAGCTCTTTCTATACACGCTTCTGCGTACACCTATACCTTTACTATTAATTTGTACTTTTTGATTATAAAGTGCAGTTATGCAATCTAGTTCATTTTGGTTAACGTTTCATAAATTGTTTTGACCTATTTAACGTTTTCATATATTCATATAAACATTCGTGTTTATTGGTGTAAATCCTAATGATGATCCACTTGACAATATTTTTCGCTTTTATTTGTTAAATTTTCACAGAGGGGATCATTATTATTTCAAAATTAATTAACTACCGATTGGTAGAATACAAATAAAGGACATCTTAAATTTCAGAACAAATATGTGTCTAGTAAAATACGCAACCGCTGTGTTGCATACCGTAAATGGATTCAATTATACCACATATCTTAAATAATTTAATTGATTTAAGATGAGTTCCTGAATTCGAGTTGGTGATGGTTGCTTACTATATCAATAATTTATCGAGATACATTTAGAATTCCCTTGAATTAAAATCCAGACTGTCTTATCCTAAATCAGTTAAATTATTTAAAGATATGTGGTTTAATATCAGAAGGGGTTTTGTGGATATTATAATAATTTTAATAGTTGAGATCATGAGTCAATTGAAGCTAGACCATCATGGAATACCTGGAAGCACTAGACGGCCTTTTCGCCCTATTTTGGGACCCCCCAGCAGTGCGCATCCACGACCCCGCCCCATGAACTTCCAACCCAGGACCTATCAGTCACGCACTCAAGCGCCTAGCCATTAAAGAACAGTGCCAGCATCCAACGGTGTTAATGTCTAACTTCAACTAATCCACGAGATCGTGGATGCGCACTGCTGAGGAGTCCCACAACATGACTAAACAGCCGTCCAGTGCTTCCAGGTTTTCCATGGTGGTCTAGCTTCAGTTGACTCATGATTTCAACTATTAAAATATTTAGTTTAATTGAACATATTTACGATATGTAACCCAGCATTTACGTGTTTTACTAGACGATAATAATTAAATAGGCTAATTATAGCCTACTAATAACCTATTATATGTATTTTGTCCAATTTTTTTCATTGTGATCTTATATTCATTATCACTTGGCAAATCGAGTTGTGTAAATCGGGTTTTTCTGTTAAATGTTTTTAATATATTCAGATAAAAGTATACATTGAGTTTAACTTGGTGATATCCGAGACCATAATAGCACAGAAGTTATTTCCTTAAACCGATAAGAATATGGAAAATTTTCGACTTATGTCAAATCTATCACGAAAACCAAATTTACGAAATATGACGCTGAAATTTAACTGATTATTTGCTGTTGAATGATTGCGCTGAGACCAACTTATTTTCAAGGTTATTGAAGATTATGGGATTTATTTTTGCAAATGTTTCACCATGGATAACTTGTTATTCAAAACGTTTTTATTTCCTCCCTTTACTCATTCCGCATTCTTTTTTGGTATTTCAATCATTACTGGAATTATCACTGTCCTTCATCATATTTCTTCGTCATCTTTTCCTTTCTTAGTCCAGAATGGAATCACCTAGACTGATGTATTATTTCTACAATTTCTAGACTGTTTTTGTAAGTTTGTCTACCCAACTACAGACGAATGGTTTCATGGAGACCTAAGTATATTTTATCACAAACCATTAAGAATCAGGAAACAAGGAACAGTTGTCCTTCCTTGGCTCGAAACGTATTGACATTGTCTACTAACGACGTTATAAAACTCACGACATGTATGTCCCACAGTAGACAGGAAAAATTATGACTCCTGACCCAGAATTCAGTAATTTACATGTGTAAATTAGTGCAATTTCTGCTTGTGTCACTGATAATTTGCATCTCATTAAAAATTTGAGAGGATCATCTTCAAACTACCTGGTAAAGAGTGCATGATTATATTTTAGAGATTTGGTTTGATGTAATGCATTGTATATTGTGACTTTAATGATCAAATAGTAGTATTCATAAATACAAATGGCGAAATGCGACAAAATACAATCCCTAATGTTGCAACACTTTTAATAGTTAAAATGGCCATTAGTAATAACCTTAGCACTCTCTGATATCAAATTACAGGAATTGCACTTTAAATACCTATTAACTGAAACACCCTAAGTTCAACAGTTTACTATACCATAATTTAGTTCGTTTCAGCGAAGCATCCTTTCAATTTTTTAGCACTTATTCTTCATTTAAAATTCAAAGTGAGTACAATAAGTTGTCTTTCGTGTTCACATTAGGAATGGATGACTGACATACTATATTGCGCTATTGTTTACCTACTTAGTGGTCTGAAGTTAGTGTGTTCATCTATAAGTTATTAGTATTTATAATGAAGTAGCCTGGATTGATATAAACATAGGAATTATGAGGTTATCTGAACTAAGATTATGGTCTCAGACGACAAACAATATGCTTGGAACTTTCTTTTTTTTTTATTTTTAACCAAGTTTAAACTTTACGAAATGGCATTGAGAGATTAAAGGTAATGCTTCATTTTAATATTGTTTCCCAAATGATAAGAATTTGTCATTAAAAGTGTTAAGACAGACTAAGTTAATATATTAATTAGTTCAGCAAGTATATTACCGTACAGGAAACTTGGGTATCTCTGTTCTAAATGTGACTACTATCAATTCGAACTGTAATTTTCTTTTTTAATGTTTTAAAACTACTGAAATTGCAATTCAGTAGTTCCCGGCTAAGTTACGGAATTCTTCGACCATGAATTATTCGTAGGTGGTATCATAATGACTTAAGTAATCTGTACATTTGTTCTGTATCCTGGTGTCTTTTTATATCTCGAGGTAGCTCAACACAGATCTTTCTATTCCTATTCTATAAGTTGCAATTCTAAGCCTGCGAACATAGTTCGTATACGTAGTTACTACTATCCTATAGTCCTAAATCGAAATGATAAACACAGAAAAATAAATATGTGACTAAAATTTACATTTATCGGTTGTATTACTGGTTTTTAATGACAATTCATTGAAAATTATGTGCTTCACAAATATAAATAATTGTACTACTGAACTATTTTCCCCTGTATATTTAAATCACAGTACTCATGAAGGATTTCAAGATAGATATTTACCTTTACAAAGCTCTACATTTGAGCGGTTCCTATCGCTAATATGACGATGTATAGTAAATTGATCTACATCAAGAATGTAAACAAAGTTTATCGATTAATGAGTGCAATTGTCGTTCTACGCAAGACAAGACAGCCTATTGAAATGTCTGAATTTACTCGATTTCGAATTTTTACTTAGTTGGCATTATTACTGATTCGTCAGAATGTTTTAAATTTTGGGTTTAATATTAGAAGCCATTAGACAGCTACCGCTAAATTCAGGTCCCACTTAGTTCTGATCCTCACCATTGCCTATTTCCAATTATCGAGGTGGAACGCAAATTTTTAATAAGATTCCAAATTTTGTTGCAGATCTTATGCATAAATTATTCAGTTAATAAGTGAACCTTTTTAGGATAGAGTTGTGAATGTGAATCAGTCACTGAATAAAAATTTGTCTCACTCTTGATTTCTTAGCGTTGATCAGATCCTAAATTTAGTGAATGGGCGATTTGTCGATGACGTTATCATTGGTATACTACAAAACGTAACTAGTATTAAATAATGTTGTTTTACATGATTAAACTATGGATATATCCGAAAAAGAATAATAGATAAGGTGCTCAGCATTTTCAATTCCTCTTTTTTGTAAATCCCCCCCTTTGAGTTAAGATTTGATTGAAAAGCGTTACTAATCGGATCGGTATTCAAAAATGTTTTAATACATAACACCATGTATTTATATATTGTCTCACATGCTTTGATGTGAAGGAATTGAACTATCTTTACCAAACCATGATTAAATTATATAATAAAAGTAAAGTTCTAATAATTTGTTATTCATAGTCTTAAGTAATTCACATAAACTTGAACAAGATCCAGTTTTTATACTACAAATATCTATATACCAGTGACTAGGATTCCGAAAAAATTAATCTCAATAATCAACATATAAATTTCACAACGACAGAAATTGTTTACGCTATCTTTGACATTAAACAAATGACCCGTAATATTCATTTTGTCAATGAAAGCATTTCAGTTCAGTATAGTAAACTTATTTTTTCCACATTATAACAGAGGCTATGTATTTATCAAAATTATTTGAGAAGCAATAGAAGGATACTTCTTTGTGTTTTCAAAACTAGATAATTAATAAATGCTTACAAATGTCAAGACGATTAACTATAAATAAAATTGACAGCAAAATAATGTCGGTAACACTTCTGAATGATATTGAAATGTAATGAACTAACTGAAGTTCTCAATTAATTACAATTATTGAAAATGATGTATACTTATATTATATATATGTATGTTTATTTATTTATCTACAGAGATTTTACGAAACACACACTCTAATCAAAATAATTTGGTCAACAATCAATCAAGTAAGTAACACTTTATTTGATGGTGATACGAAATCAATTCCTCCTGCAGCTCTTCTAGAGCTACTGTCCGTCCCAAGCTTAAGTGCAGGAGTGTTGTGCATGGGGTCAGCAACCCTATCCCGTATAAAACAACCTTGCCAAAAACACGCTAACCAGAATAAAAAAGTCAAACCGTTCAAACTCTTCCCTCCGGGTTGAAGGATCTTCACTCAGGAGAATTATGACGCCTAATGGTGAAATACGAGATTATTCGGAAATCACGAGACTGATGCCCATTCTAACAACCAGAGCAATAATTAATATAGGCAAATTGAACGTCCAGACAAAGTGAGTGACAGAGAGGACCAGCCAAATAGCTAAGGAAATGAGGAGATACAACTTGATGGTGTTCGGAACCAGTGAAACCCATTGGACTGAAGACGGACATAAAAAGTTGAATTCGGGAAAGATGCTGCTGTACTCCGGTCACGAGTAAGAAAACGGTCCACACAGTTAGATAGTCACTTTGATGCTGTCCAAAGAAGCCCGTAATGCCCTCATAGAATGAACATCTCAAGGATCCAGAATCATCAAAGCATCATTCAAAACAAAAAGGGAGGGAATCACAATGAATCTTATCCAAAGCTATGCACCCACCAATGATGGTGACGACGACGATATAGACCAGTTTTATGAGAGGCTGCAACCGATCATAGTGAGTGCCCAGGAAACGACCTGACAATCATGATTGGGATACCTAAACGCCAAAGTCAGAATGGAGAACATCGGGTATGAAGATATCAGGAGACACATGGACTGATTGTGAGAAAGGAACGAGAATGGTGACAGATCTGCAATTTTATGTTCATTCAACAAAATGTTTATAGATGGCACAATATTCTTCACAACCACATACACAAAGGTAGATGGGTATCAGCGGATCACACTAAGAGCAGCACATCGATCATATTTCCATCAATAAAAAATCAGAAGCCCAATGGAAGACGTAAGAACCGTGAAAGGAGCTGACACAGCAACATATCACCACCTGATGGATGTCAAGATAAAACTGAAGCCAGAAAAGCGCTGGACAGCTGGGGAAAAAACAGTACGAAGTTCCGATACAGCCATCCTACGAGATGCTGACAAACCTAATGAATTCGGGACGGATCTAATCAACAGGTTCCAAGCCTTACAGGATCTAAATAAAAAGAAACTAACATGAAGGACAATTGAAAAGGTATCAAAGAAGAACTAACTCCAACAACTCAGGAGGTGCTGGGTCGCAATAAGTATCACCATAAGTAATGAATCTTTATCGAAATCCTGGACAAGATTCAGGAAAGGAAGAACAAGAAGACAGCAATTAACAACAGTCGAACGAGAACAGATAAAGTCAAGACACAATCTGAATACACTGAAACAAACAAGCAAGTGAAGCGGAGCACTAGAGCCGACAAGCAGAAATACGTGGAAGAGCTAGCAACGACAGCGGATAAAGCTGCAACAGAAGGAAATAAGAGACAGCTGTATGATATGAAGAAGAAACTAGTAGGGAAATATAATAAACCAGAGAGACCAGTCAAGGACAAAGAAGGCAAGCCAATCACTGAGATTCAAGAACAGAGGAATGAATGGATAGAACATTCTGAAGAACTTTTGGATGGAAAAGCCCTACTGAATCCACCAGACATCGAGGTAGCACCAACAGACCTTCCTACAGATCTCACTCCACCAACGATCGAAGAAATCAGGATGACCATCAGACAAATCAAGAGTGGGAAATTATCAGGAACTGACAATATACCATCCGAAACACTGAAACCACACATAGAAGTAGTTGCAAACATGCTCCACTTTCTATTCAGGAAGATTCGGGTGGAGGAACTAGTGCCGACACACTAGAAAGAAGGACAATTCATCAAGATACCAAAGAAAGGAATTCTGAGTAAGTGTGAGAACTACAGAGGCATCACACTACTATCGGTATCAGGAGAAATTTTCAACAGAGTTTGGCTGAACCGGATGTAAGATCCATTAGACGTCCAGCTTCGAGATCAGCAGAACGGATTCCGTAAGGATTGGTCATGCATAGACTAAACTGCGACACTACGGATCCTCGTTGAACAATCAGCTGAATGGAATTCATCACTATACATCAAATTCATTGATTATGAGGTGTTTTACAGTGTGGATAGGAAGACTATATAGAAATTTGTTCGACCCTATCGTGTACCTGAGAACATCGTTAGCAGCATCCAGAATTCATACGATGGACTACACTGTAAAATGGTGCATGGAGCACAGCTGACAAACTCATTCCAAGTGAGGACCGGTATCAGAAATGGTTGCTTACTCTCCCCCTTTCTTTTCCTTCCGGTGGTTCACTGGTTTATGAAAACCTCCACATCTGAGGGGATGCACGCAATACAATGGACAGCTCGGAATCAACTAGACGATTTGGACTCTACAGATCACCTCACTTTTCTATCCCAAACACACCAGCAAATACAGGTCAGTATAGCCAGTGTAGCAGAAACCTCTGCAGCAGTAGGTGTCAACATACACAAGGGAAAAATCAAGATCTTCAAATACAACACGGAGAACACTAAACCAATTAAACTTGATAGAGGAGCTCTGAAAGAAGTGAAAACCTTCATGTACCTGGACAGTATCATCGATAAACGTGGAGGATCTGGTGCAGACGTAAATGCAAGGATTGATAAAGCAGGGACAGCATTCTTACAATTGATGAACATATGGAACTCAAAACAACTGTCTGAAAGCCAGTATCGAATTCAGAATCTTCAATACGAACATCAAGACAGTTCTACTGTACGCAGCTGAAACTTGGAGAACTACCACAACCATCATCAAAAAGGTAAAAGTATTTATAAACAACTATTACTCAGGATACTTTATGTCCGTTGACCAGATACCATCAGCAACAGCCTACTTTGGGAGAGGAAAAAACAACTTCCAGCTCAGGAGAAAATTAGATGTTGGAAGTGGATAGGACATACATTACGGAAATCACCAAACTGCATCAGGAGGCAAGCGCCAGCTCGCAATCCTGAAAGGAAATGGAAAAGAGGAAGGCAGAACACACTACGTCGGGAATTTGAGGCAGACATGGAAAGGATAAATAGCAACTGGAAAAAACTTGAAAGGGTTGCCCATGATAGGGTTGGATGGAGAATGTTGGTAGGTGGCCTATGCTCCTCCATGATGAGTGACAGACCTAAGTAAATAAGTAAGTGATACAGAAACAGAATTCTAAATAATCATAAGAAGAGTGACCTTCGCCAGAGTTTTCTGTGTATTCCGTATTAAGGAATTAACTTGACTATTTAAAGTTTAATATTTATCAAATGATTTGTATCATCCAGCACCTACAGGACATTAATTTATCTTTACCATGCAAATGTAGTTTTCATTTTAAAAAATCTGCCTAATAAACATGGTTGTTTGGATTTATTAACATGAAAAAACTGTCAGTATCCAATACAATACGATTAACCTTGGTTCTGTCTTACTAGGATAATAGTTCTTGTTGAACAGCATAAACATAATTAACAAAATAGTCACTAGAAAGACAGATTGCCTGTTGTTCACAAATTTGCTACCGGCAATTCAAACAACTAACCTACTGATAACATTGAGAGATGGTTGTACAATACCGCTAACTTATCGAAGTTAGACATGTCAAACATTAAATGCCGACTCCTTAGTCTAAAGTTAGATCACTCGATGCCAGACCTGAGGTCCTTGTGTTTGACCTTCAGTGGCGTCGTAGATATATGCTGTTGATTAGTCTCACTCTAATATCACCTATGATCATCCGAGACAATCAAGTTTCGAATGATTGTTCGACTAAAGCCAATCTATAATGTAATCAAGTGTGTCTGCTTAATTTCCTTCACAGTGACACAAGGCCCGAATAGACTTCAGTATATCTGATGGTATATGATGAATGGAATTTTTTCATCACTGATAATCTCCGTGATGATTTGTATGATAATTTTAACTGTATGGAGAATGACGAAGGTATGATTACAAAACAGCCATATATGTACTCAATTAGTGACCTTGAAAGACAAAAACTACATCATAGCATAGAAAGCGAATATTACGTAGACACGAATAGAGAATTGATAAAAATAAGCCCAGCGTCAATAGTCTACAAAAAATATGGTTTAAAAGCATACGAAAGGAAAAAACTTCAAAATTTACATCGTTTATCAGCATGATTCAAATAAAATAAAGTGAATATCTACAATCGTATGTATATAACATTTTACTCCTTGAATAATGAGATCTCAATCAAAAACTTAATAATCTCCACAACCCCTATACTAGTAATATCACAAATCCCTATTATTCCATAGTTCTGATTGAAGATTCATATTAATTTGAGTTCTTGGTGAATATTATATTTAAACCGTTACATGTATGTCAACTTAGTGACATTTTCATTTGATGCCTAATATGATTTTGGTATAGTTAAACAAAGTCAAATTTAACATCTAAAAATATTGTTACATAAAATTCACTCTTTCAAAACTATCAATGTTGTGTTAACTTGACTGGAATCCTTTAACAGTCTACAACAGATTACTCAAGATTACCATTTTTAAATTCTTGTTATTTATGATTAGAGGATTTGACTTTCAAAACTTATAAAAAAGTTCAGAGATCATTTCCGTTATTTATATTTGTTTGTTCTATATAAAACTTGCCTAAAAATTGTATTTTTCTACCATTTAAGATTGATTATAAAACTTTAGGTAACTCCTAATATCAATCAATTGTGATGCCTAAAACACTAGTTCGTTTGTACTGAGTATCACACAAAATGTACAAAGTTAATTTAAAATCAGTAAGAAAACATGAATGATATTCAGTTTATGGAGATAAAGTTTTCAAGGATGAAAATTTTTCCAGATCTAACCTATCATCCTGATTTGGGTTTTATTCCCTTTGACTAATCGAAGCGTCGTTTCCAGAGTCTACTTTCGGATCAATAAATACAGCGATTTGTTTATTATATTACCCATTTGCAGTTCACATCACTCCAATCATATCATCTCACATATCTGTTTCGAACATCGAGGCTGAGAATCTATTAAGAGTGATATTTGTGGATGTTTGGATTACAACATTAAGAGAATTTGTTAGTGAAGCTATTAACTCGATGTAGTTGTTTCGTTTATATTTGTAAGATGGAAGGATTGTTCATAGGAGTATTTCATGACATCGTCTGTTAACGGAAGATCAAATAATGGAATGAATATCAATTGAATATCATACTACTTCTGTTTCATTTGATCATAATACAATACTGTATTGTTCTTTTCTTGATAGCATCTTATATGAGAAGACCGGAAGTATTATTTACTATACTATCAATATTGATTTTATCAATTCTTATCAATTTGGGATTCTGCATTCGATGTTTACTATTTCGTTCTTATATTGGTAAGCTATCAACTAGAAAATGGAATTGTCAATTTTTATATTTACTATGTTAATTTATATTTTCTGGACTTTTCTTCAGAATTTACTTTTTAAGTATAATCCGGAATTAAATACATCTTTCCGTATACCTTTAACAAAAACATAATTAATTCAATATTCATCTTGATTAGTTATTCGTTTAGACCTTTATAATTACTATTAAGTAAAAAAAAAGTCTATGAATTATTATTAAGATTAGGCTAAATCAACATTTTTTCAATAAGTCATGAAGTCTTACTTTCCATAATGATCAGTTATTTCCTATGAGTATAATTAATCAATATGTTCAAAAACGATGAATCTACATTATATGCGAAAATTAATCAAATTAGTCAAGAAAATCAGCAATTATAGTGAAGAAACATACTTGTACATTGGACATATTGGTTATAATAGAAAATCTATAGAAAAAATGAGATAGTAATACCCAAATCGCCGTTTCCTTACACCAGTAAATTTAAAGCAAATATAACTATCTGTATATGTATACACAGAGACAAAAACTTTAATCAAAAGTAAACCTCATTTACAGTATGATTTGAACTAGTAGGTATCAAACTACTAACACGACTCTTTGCTAAATGGACCACAAAACTTAACCATTAATTAAGTTTACATTCTGTTCTAACTTCTAAGTGAACTGTTTTAGTCTATATTATTCTCTCCTCCTTGTATTTCCCTATTTTTCTGTACTTCAGACGCATCACAAGAAGGATCAAGTAAAACAAGTTGCCTAGCTGCTTGTCTTTGCTTACCTGATGAAATGAGGAAGGGTTCACTAATTATGACGACACCAATTCTACCTCGAGCAACTATGACGCCGCATATGAATCATGTTAGAATAAATGGCTCAGATCATGGAGTACTTAATTCGTCATACAGCTTATCAGCTATACAAAAAATCCCTTTACTCTACAATGGTACATCATATAAAGAGAATCCACCTACAAATTACATTCCGACAAATTCATTACCAGGTACTTTCAGAAAGAATGGAATGCAAAACCTGAGAAACAATAGCATACCACAACAACAATTTGGAGGATTAACGCAACCTCAAACTTTAGATATGGAGAATACCAATCTAACAACATTTCCTATGATTGATGACACAAATAAGTTTGTTAGTTTCACACCAACATACATTCGAGCTCCATCACTTAATACTCCTTCACCAAATCTTAATCGTGACGTGGTAAACAATTATGGATACTCACCACAAACTCCGGTACGTCATTTTGGACAGAGCGAAATTCACTCATTTCCGCAGTATTTAATACGAATGCAGCATCCGCATGTCATATACGACGATGTTGCTGGAGGAACATCAAGTATTGTAGGGTCATTGGGTCATAGCCCAAGTGGTAGCATTATAGACACTACAAGTTTGCAAACTCATTTAGCTCAACTTCAAAATATCAATGTAGCGAGACAAAATAATATATTACAACCAACTAATTCAAGTTTCTCTAATCTCATGAACCTATCTCCGGACTCTAATATTCAGGGTCATTATATATCACTCCAACCCTCAATAAGCCATAAATTAGCAGACGATAAGATTGCAACTTCGGTTACTTCATCAGTTCCAGTATCAGTGTCTACACCAACTTCACCTAATTACTCAGGTCAAACCCGGTCAGATACATCTGTTATCCCAAGTGTTTCCTCGTCAACAACTGGAAGTTCAACTAATTCGCAACAAACAGTAACATTGACCCAAGCTGACAAATCATTAAATACTAATATATCAAATATAAATCCACCTTCGACACCTTCCCCATCAATTAGTTGACTTGTGGCAAACACAACAAACAACTGATTCTTACTCACTTGGATTCAATAATAACTGAAACACAAAAAACAACCACTAATTTCTAGTGATATTAATTGAGAAATTTTATGTACAATACAAGCTAGATATCGAAGAATCTGATACATTTCATATCGTTCAATCTTTGCAAAAGATTATTGTTATTTAAATGAGAATCTGCGATTGTTGTCATTAGTTTTATACAACCACCTTTCGTGAAATTCTTTTTAAGTAGACTTTAGAAACATGTTTATAGACACTACTCAGTCAGTCAGCCACAACGTAGGACCAGGCACATATATGCACCGGTCCAAGTTGTCATACCTCATTAGCACAACAAAATGAACACCGAACTCCTAAAGTAGTTAATTCAGTGGTGGTAATATATAAGAGAAAGATTGCATATAAGGATATAGTGCAGGAAGAAAGAATTAGTCCATAAAAAGAAAGGTATGAAGTAATTTTAATATCACGGTTTAAGGGAAGACAGAGAGTGTATACACCTACGCCATTGTGATCGATTCTGAGCCATGTTACCCAAGGTCTCCAACCATTGGTTACGATAGTCACGCGGACCCCAATCAGGTAGTCTGCACCTACCAACATGACTCACACTAGAAGTGACTTTAAGGACTGATGCCATGTTTTAGTTTGGCCACCCCTAACTTTCTCTCAACCATCCCCAACACTAGTCAGCATTGCTCGTCGTGGTAATCGGTATTTAGGCATACGTAACACGTGGCCAAACCACCTAAGTCGATGAAGATTCACAACCTTTTCAACTGATTTACCATCGTCAGACACCAACCCATTAGGGTTGATGAGACTACTTCACTCCCGATCCTTAGTTCAAGTGTTGACGCAAGCCAGTCCTGGAGCACTATGTATGCACCAATGAATTATATTTAAAAATGGTAAGGAAAGACATGGATCTCTGTCCTTCTCTTACTTAAAGCAGTATTATTCAACAGTGTACATAACTTACATGGTTTTCCGATGGAGAAAATACACAACGTCCAAGGATTGACCCGGTGGTTAGAGTAGTGGTTGAGTCGACAGTTTGAAATCTGCTGCTTAGATCTCACATAGAAGCGTGAATGATTGAGGGTGATGCGAAAGTTAAGTCAAAGGTTTATTGCTATCACTTATCTAATACAGGAAGTTTGAATGAATCGTGTTTATGTATATGTAATCCTCCGCGTGTGCTATTGGTGACATTTAAGAATAAACCCATAACTTAAAATTAGTGTAGGACTGTATACAGATAATACACTACATGAATTCAGCAATAAATGCCTTTAACTGTAATAAAACACCAAATGATATTAGGGTTTCGTCCTAAGCAAATATCATAGACTAACAAATCTTTATTTGTCTTATCAATGTCCAAATTATTTATGAAACTTACATTGGCTGAAATATTTGGTTGACAAAGTATTGAAGAATGGAATATAATTTACTGCTGATGCTAAATGTGTATCTGTACTATTTTGTAAGTAGAAAATGAATTTTCAGTTAATGTTCAGTGGATATAAGTATTGGCTTTTGAAAGGCTGTTTCGTGGTCTTGGAAACATACAAACGAAGACGTCATTAGTCTGACTTTCGCATTATGACTAGGCTCAGATTTAACTTAATGAAATGTATCTCTGAGAAGTATTCTTTATGTACAAAAATGGACTGGTTTATGAAAAATGTTAGAAACTTGGGGAACAAAACGGATATGCATGACTAAACTATTGCTGGGTTAGACTGTCTTAAGTTTACTTGTTTCTCTGTTTTGACTGCCTGTAATGTTAAGAGTTGTAATCTACATAGATCCACTACAGTAAGCAATTTTAAGCTTGCTGATAAATCATTCTTGAAAATCAAACAAAATTTCCTTTCTGAGCTCAGTATTTTCAGAAGCAAAAACATGAAGGATATTGTAAACTCAATCGAGATTAAAGCTAGCTTAAATTCAGAAGTAACAACATTAGTATTCGTGAATATCTGATACTGAAAATTACTAGGACAGAATAAAACAATCCTATCGAACATTCTAAATAGTTTTATGAATTTGTTTTAAACACTGATATCAAATTATGGGAGAGAATCACCCTTAAAATTATCAGAAAACTATTGGATTGGTCGAAATTTAACGAGAATGACTATAACTAAATAGGCAGTATATTAAAGGCTATAATAATGATACACTGTACAATATATATCACTTTTATGAATACAATATAATAAATAATAATTCAGTTCAATGATTAAACATATCGAAATATAACATCATTTTTGGATATCACCAATTGTACTTCTAGTTTCACAACACATCGAAGTATAAGAGAAAGCATTTCTTCTGTGTAACCAATGAGGAAACTGGTTTCTCCTGGAGATATTCGCTTTAATAGTAAAAAAGCTACACGTATTACGTTACATTGTCGTTTGATAATAACCTTTTGGGTGTGTAGAAAATAAAGTAGTTAAAAATGAATGTGATTTACACCGAAAAACAATAAATATAAAACTATTATTTGTCGATAACACAAGAAATTTTAGTACAACAATCGGATAAAAGAATACACGATATAAATGAGTATAAAAATGTTACGAAAGAGTAAAGAAACGTCATATTATCAATAAATAAATAAGAATAATGCTTAATAATAGATAAAATTAGTTTGGAAAAAGTCAAAATGGATTTCTTTCAATTAATGAAATTCACTTAAGTTTTATGATGAATCCACTAAAAACTGTAGAAAGATATCTACTGCCTTTTAATATGTCATATCTGACAACACTCAAAGCTACTGCCTCGCATGATCATTAGGAACCCAACCTGGAAATCGTAATGGATCGGCAGTTACCAACCCACAAAAGCTTTTTACCCCCTGCAGACGTCAATTATCAGTATAGGGTTGTGGAGATTATTGAGTTTTTTATTAAGATCATGAACGGATTGATGTTAAATCACCAATGGAAACCTGAAAGCATTAGATGGCCGTTTCGTCCTATTGCGAAACTCTCCAACAGTGTGCATCCACGATCCCGCTCGCGGAATTCGTTCGCGCGCGAGACTGAAGGCCCTGGATTTGGATTGATTATTGGCGATAACATCTTATTATGAAAATAAATGCTTCCACGGTTTTTAATTATCAAATGTGCAGTGCATAGGCTGTGACGCATAAATGTACGACATAAACTACCAATGAAATGCTGTAATCAGTTCTTGAATTACCTCCCCTCAAAAATCACTGGGCCGTAGTAGTCACGTAAAGACACATCACAATTAAACAACTTATTATTATCATCTTCCTTTATATTTTAAGTCGTTCTCATCTAAGAGACAAAATGTTATGGATTTCAAAGTGTTGGGTGACAATACTTCATTATTTCGATACATAGAAGGACTGGTTTTATTATTTATTTATTTTAACACAACGATATTGGTACAAGAAGGCACCAAATAGATATGCGCCACATAAATCATTCGATTTGTGTGAGGGCTGTGATACTGCCCGGGTGCCCAGACCGAAGCAGGTGGTTTTCTTAGGGGACCACACCCCGAGCCCTTAACCTAAAGGTCTGATCCACAAGACAGTGGAGCATCGTAAGGAGATGCAGTCCCATGGTAACCGGTGACCAACGATTGGTTCATACGCCATTTGTTCCTGCAGGATACTGGAGCCCATGTGCACCATTGATTTGGGATCCGGTTAAAGCGCCGGACATTCGCTTTTCGTCCTCTCATTTTCGTAAACAACACCCCCGCCACGAGCAGGCAATGAGTAGGACTTCCCTGGCAGAGGCTGTATACGCGTGGCCGTGTGAGAGTATTTCGAGAGGGAGAGCGGACTCTCCCCACTCTCGGGCGTACCAGGGCATTTGGGGGCAGAAGGACTGGTCGCAAAAACGAACTCTGATTTTAGCTGAGATAATTATCCGAACAGTTTAGTGAAAATATTCATTGAGATCGTTTGTGAGGGTTTAGTTAATCCAAAGATAACTTTTACGAGTGACTGAAATCATTTGAAAAATATGTAAAAACGGGAGATCAGTCAACAGCTAATACACACTAGTTCGGAACTTAAATGATACGTAACCTTGACTACATACCGAGTTGGACCTACAGCCATCAAGACTGATGGCTGAGTCATAATAATTTGTTATTTGACATTAGTAACCCGCTGCGAAATCGATGTCGCGAACTTTTAATGGGGAGATGTAATATATCCTAGTGAAGATTAAACTATATATATTCTTATTGTATAACTATTGAGTAACCAGATTATGTATATTTATATTCCTCTTATTATAAGCTTTAGTTTGACCTATAGAATATTATTATACGATTTACTACTCTTAAGTTATACCAAGTTTATTAATTACAGTCTCTCACAATCACAGCCACTCTTGGGCTTGATCTTGTACAAATGTCATTTTTATTTTAGTGTGATGTGGTCTGGTTGGCTTGTATATAAACCAGGTATGCTTGAAATAGATTATTCGTATAGTGGAAGCTGATATTGGTGTTCTGGACCCGACAGGCAAGGCTATGCAGGAAAAGTCCAATAAGGACTCTAGGCCACTCATACCAGTCAAGACGTCATTGGTTTGGCACAGTGCTAAGATTGTATAAGTCGTACGATGATTGGTCAGTAAGTCACGTGGTATTTAACAGTGCTAAAAGTCCCGACAGTAACCTGTGCAGCTGGTTAGTTATAGAATGAAAACAAGTGTCGCCCGATCGCATCAAGTAGTGGTAGCACTGTGTCATAAACCAAATGATATTGAAAATGGGGATCCAAGGTTTTTGACTCAGTGATTGAATCTTGATGTACTACCACGAGGGTCAATGCTCCTGAGTTACATTCTGTATAGAATCGAGAGTATGAGCTAAAACAATTATCAGATGACTTTTTTACTGAATTTTCACATTCCAATCTGAAATGGACAGGACTTTCAAAATCTGAATTTCCGTAAACTAACTCAACGAAGTTATGCATCGAAACCAGATTTAGTATCAACATAAAGGTGCAGTGTGGAAAAATTATATAATTGTGTACAACTAAATAAACATACTTCACTTTGAACCAACAAAGGAAAAGTTCCATTAATAAATGTTCGAATAAACTGGTCATGAAGGGTAACTTCTGAAGTGTAACGGTCTTCTCCCTCCAAATTCGAAGTATTCCAAGAATTCCAAGACTTCATTAAACCAATTTGATGTGGCTTTTTTGCCTGCTCGTATGTGAGGGGGTGGGATTGATCTCTAGTTCGACGTACCACCCCAGCACGAGTGTTCTTGCAAATTGTGTTTCCTGTGTGTATTTTTCTACTGGTGACGTACGTATCAGATATTACACGTTCACAATTACGTAGCCGTGCAAACATCACGAAGAAAAAGTTTGCAACGAAAGTAAGCTAAGCAGAGTAGAAACAGATAAGTAAGAAGCTATCCCAAAACTGTGAGTGATCAACTTTAAAGTTAGTATTGATGACTGGGTACTCTACAAAGTTACCTGAAAGGAAAAGTAAATGACTTGATAGCAAGGTCTAAATCTATAACTATTATTATATACCCTAATAGAAGCAATAAACAATGCGTTTTAAAATGGCAAACAACGTAAGATAAGGTACTTGATATACTCAACTACTCTCTAAAATGGTCCCTGGTGTCAGTAGCTATTTTAAATTTCTAAAAATTATAGGCTTTATAAGATACGATCAACAGCTTATTTAGCAATCTGAGAGAGGAATTTTTTACTTAAATCTTGGTTGTAATACTTTTGCTTTCATGAATTATACGTCTAGGGACTCGATGGTTTTTAATAATTTTCTAGGGTATAGAAAATAAAACCTAATTATCTGTAGTACTATTTAAGCGCTTTTTTAGTGGCTTGTTTTAAGTTGGACATTTGACAGGATATGATGAATGGTTTGAGAAACTAAGGCAAATTTTTTACGTTTGTCGGGTATGCAATTGTTTTAAAAATAAATGATGCCAAAACCGTTATGATTCAAACCATAAGGCACCAGGATGGATTTTATATTACTGCTTATTACCTGACAAATAAACGAGTCGAGCTTAGTATTTCGCTTGACTACGTAGGTTGTTTATGAAAAATGAGTTAGTTAATGTTAGATACTATCCGCATTTCCGTTTAAAAATATCACAGGTATCCCTCTGAAAAAAAAACAGTTAGAGTACAGCTTTCCAGATTGATCCTGTACGATGAAACAAACTCAACGATCTTGAATAAACAGATGACACAACCTTGTATGCTGAAGTCTTACGGACTTTGGCATGTTTCTCTGTTCCTAAATGCACAGCGGGTTTGCATCAGTACCTAAACTGCTCACAGGGAACGAGGCGGTCAAAAGCGCCAACCAACCAACTCATATTGGCAGTCACATCAGGCATCAGATGAAATCTTCGCAAAGATTAAGAAGGCTAGGATGACTTCGCTAACTTGTGACGCCTATAGTGTGGTAGACATACCTATTCTTTAGACGTGGGTCAAGTATACTGTGTAGCAGTTCCCATTGCATAATTATATAGCTGTGAAACATGGCCTATGAAAGGGAAACGTGTAGGGCAGAAGCGCATCGAGGAAGTTATGGGAGTATTTCCAGGCATAATGCAAGAAAAAAGTAGATCAACCCGGAGAAGGCACTTCATAGAAAAGCAACATTAGTAAACACGAGAAAACGGCATTTTCGGTTAAGTTTGTTAAGACCAAGGCACAGAACTAGAGAAAGATACTATGTGTTGTGTAGTACATGTCTGTAACCCGATGAGCAAGATAGGTCAAGCATCAAATATTTGTCTGATTATGACTATTTTAATCGTCTCAAGTGGTCTTCATAGTAAGTTGGCTACAACATAGAAGAAATAGACAAAAGTAAACTACATGGATGAAAGTCAGATTTCAGCGTGAAACTGATCTTTGCATAATAACTGGTCTGAATTCATGATTATAACCCAAATAATTCATGTACAAAAGCCTACTGTTCGTGTTAAAACTGTCTACTAACCATGATTCTGTTGAGTTTTTTTACAAATCGTCTGACTCGGCTAAAAATAGGTAATGGTCATGCACAAACTTTACTCCCACCAAGAAGTAAACTGTGATTTTGATACACAGTGGACGTTTAAAAAAAAATGTCCCCTCAAACACTCCGAACACACTAAGAAACCATAAGAAGCCAAAACTTTTGAATACATACCAGTTCGATGTCCAATTTACAGTACAGATGGTCAAATGGTTGTGGATGGAACAAAAGTTTTTGGTTAACGACACTTTTAGTCCATATGCATATTACAGATGGCAATGGTTACTAGGTTATCAAGTGAAGATTCCAAAACATCGATGCGGTTTGTTCTGTCGCACCTCTTGACACCTGAGGTTGCCAGAAAATTCACGTTACTTGGCACCTCTTCAGAACGAGCACTTCAGAAATGCAAGTTTTACGGCTGCACACGAAGTAACCGATATCTATTATTTAAACTTCAGGTGCCTTAACTAATCGCTTTCTGTCATCCGCTGTCAACGAAAAAGACCTTTGTAAGCTGCACGACATCGCGACACAAGGTTACTTTCACGATATCCGAGACAAGATGATAAAGCGTAATAGAATAAAACAAGGTCAGGTATGTACTAATTTAAAGTGATAATTTCCCTACGGCTCTATAGTTACAGTCAACAATATTAACGAACATAACCGTAAGTTCAGCTTCAAGTATTTGGCTGTGCCAAAGCATGTCATTGAGACATGGTTGTGAATTTTTTTCTTTCTTTTAATTCAGAATTCACGGGAAGACTACCTCAATTCTCAATAGCCGAACGGACGTGGCTTAAGGGAATGGTCCGTGCAATTTTCTATATGTTCTACCTCATCTTTAATAAACAATTTTTGGTAAAAGAGCTTACTTTATTACTTACATGGGAAACTATAGAAGTGTTGAGAATGTTTGTTTGAGTGTCAGTGAAATTTTGAATAAATGCACACTACTTATAGATAATACAACACCTGTTCCTTCTTTTGCAGATAATTTCAAATAACAATGAATTAGCAATTGTAATGGATATGCAAAACAATCGATGCTTAAGCTTCTCCTCTAATGTGGTACAATAATACGCTTTACCTTTTAAATAAAATTTTCCAAAATATACCGGTTTTCCAGTGCATTGCAGATTTATTTTCGTCTGATGTTGAAAATGAAGGCGAACATAGGAGACCTTTGGGGTTATGTCAATGGATCGAAAATAGGGAGTTCTGTGTGTATTTAAGCGAAAAGTAGACAGTTAAGCGTATAAGTAGGCAATTCCGCGGAAATTTTGGCAAAAATTCGACAATTCTGCGTATATTTAGGTGAAAAGTAGACAATTCAGCGGACATTTAGGCGAAAAATCGACAACTCTGCGGATATTTAGGCTAAAATTCGATGTTTAGGCGAAAAGTGAGTAATTTATCGACAAAGCGGCAAAAAAGGGGAAATCCGCATTATTTCCCCCGGACAGGCGAAAAAAGCGACATTCTGGCGCGTTTTACCCTTTATTTCCCCTTAGTTCGTCTTTATTTCCCTTTTTTGGGTTGTCTGGGTGATGTCGAGTTTCTTCATGAATCTCTTGGGGGAACGTTTGAATATATAACACATACATCATCTACCTTAATTTTAAGATCTAGGGTAGTGGGTCAGTTATTCACCTTAGCAAACATATTCGTGATGAAGTTGTGGAAGTGTACCCCCCTCCAACAAAAAAAGCTACATAAGTCTTCGACATTGATGCCGACCTTAATAATATTAGTGGAAACATCCCGAGCCTAAGGCTCGGAGTCTAGCATCAACACCAGATCATAGCTGAATGCCCCATAATGCGCGTTTCCTGAAACTGATCACCTTAGGTTCCATACAGTAAGGTATATCTGTCTTTATTTCAAGTATATCTTATTCTATCATTCTTGATTTTTTATTTTAACGGCTTTGAAATCAGTACATAAGAAGAAATTATGGGTAATAGCTCTTCTGAGTCTTGAGTATCGATGACCTTAATCTACACCGTTGGGTTCAGAATAAACTTACAGATAACAGACAGTTGTAAACCAAAGATTCTAAAGCCCCTAATAGCACTTAGAATTGACTTACGAGATGATAATTTAGGAGATTGTAGCGGTAAATAAATCCCTAAAATAAATAGCTCTGTAAGTTTTCGACATTGGATGCTGACCATATATTTTAGTGGACTCATCTAGCTGAAGGCGCTCGGTCAGGCATCCGCACCAGATCACGTGTAGTAACGCCGTGCTCAACATCAACCACAATCGCTAGCCAGATTAGATCAGAGAATCCCGGTATATTGGTCATCGCCAAATATACTCTTCCGATCTCCTCGACTCTGTCTTTTGATTTCTCTTGGTGGGAACGAAACATATTAGAAGGTGTTACTGGTAGAAGCGTTGTGAAACACTGAATACCTGTGACATCATCATTGGTGAGACCGTCGTGATCTGGTACACCTTATTGCAACTGTGAGTCTGTTCCTTTTTGGGATTTTTATATATCATTGCCTTATTTTTTATTTTTTTTTAAACATTGTGATTTTTTTCGTGTTTTTCTTGGATATATATATATATATTTTCCCCTCGTTCATTATCGTACTTCATATTTCATCATGACTGAACAGACACTTAAAGTGCTCAAGCTTAAGAGAGACAGATAACCCCGACTGGTGCTGGTATCATAACCAGTATGGAAAGTTTTCCAGAAATTGCAGAAAACCCTGCAATTTTCCCAACACGAAACCGACTGATTCGGGAAACTTCCAAGCCGGCACGCGTTAACGGCAACCGTAGCCGGCGAACAAAGCCGTCTGTTATTCGTCACAGATGTGACAACGAGAGTTCGCTACCTCGTCGACACTGGCGCAGAAGTTAGCGTTCTCCCAGCAAATCCTAACGACCGACTTCACGAATCGACCCTAAACTTACAGGCGGCAAACGGAAAACCGATCGCTACGTATGGCAAAAGGTACGTTTACCTTAACGTGGGTTTACGCAAACCCATCCACTGGATTTTCGTCGTTGCAGATGTTTCTATGCCAATCATTGGTATGGACCTTCTACAACACCACAATCTGATCATCGACACTCGCAAACGGAGGCTAGTAGACGGAAACACTAATTTGTCCGTTTGCGTAACTTCTTTTACTGGTTGTAGAGTATCCCCAGTCACAGTTAAACATATGATAGACCCACTCTATCAACCACTACTCGATAAGTACCCTGGGATACAACAAACGCAAACGAAACTACCGTGTGTAACCAGCAATGTTACACATCACATCACGACTACAGGACCACCTGTATTTTCTAAAGCACGACGACTAGCTCCTGAAAAGCTAAGGTTAGCGAAAAACGAATTCGATCACATGATGGACTTAGGAATCATACGACCGTCAAGTAGCCCATATGCATCTCCGTTGCACATGGTCCCTAAAAAGGACAGCAACGATTGGCGTCCAACTGGTGACTATCGGCGATTGAACGCGAAAACCATTCCCGATCGTTACCCGTTGCCTCACATTCACGATTTGACAGCTACCTTGAAAGGTACAACTGTCTTTTCGAAAATCGACTTGGTTAAAGCGTATAACCAAATCCCTATGGCTACTGACGACATACCGAAAACGGCTATCATAACTCCCTTCGGACTCTATGAATTTTTGCGAATGCCTTTCGGTCTAAGGAATGCTGCTCAAACATTCCAAAGATTCATAGACGACGTTTTTCGAGGTCTCAACTTCGTACACGCGTATGTTGACGACTGTCTAATCGCAAGTCCGGACAGAGAAACACATCTCAAGCATCTGGACCTTGTTTTCGAACGATTACAAAAACATGGCATAACTGTAAACGTTCAGAAATGCCAATTTGGAACCGACTCGTTAGACTTTCTGGGACACACTATCGATGCTCAAGGTATCCGACCCCTTAGAACCAAAGTGGCGGCCATTCTGGATTACCCAGAACCGACCACCGTCAAGCAATTACGCACGTTCAACGGCCTGGTAAGTTTCTATAGACGTTTCATACCCAGATGCGCATCACTTATGAAACCTCTGACCGACCAACTTCGTGGAAATGCGAAATCCATTAATTTGGACGACACCGCACGAAAAGCATTCTCCACAGTCAAGGAACTGATTGCTAAAGCAACAATGCTCGCACATCAGGACACCCGAGCACCCATTAGCATCGCAGTAGACGCATCCGACTCAGCAATCGGAGGAGTCTTACAACAATGGGTTAACAACTCCTGGCAACCCTTGGCATTTTTCTCTAGAAGGTTGCTAGACACCGAATCGAGGTACAGCACATTCGGTAGGGAACTCCTAGCTATGTATTGTGCTGTACGGCATTTCCAACACTATATCGAAGGCCGTGAATTCACTCTTTTCACGGACCATAAACCGCTCACTTTCTCGTTAAGCTCTCCTTCTGACAAGTACTCTCCCCGTGAGTCTCGACAACTGGACTACATTTCGCAGTTTACTTCAGATATTCAACACATCTCTGGAGCAAACAATGTAGTTGCAGACGCTTTATCTCGTATAACTTCCTTGAACAGTTTCCAAGGAATCGACCTTCTTAAACTCGCCGAGCTTCAAAAAGAAGACAGTGATCTTCAGCACGAGTTATCGTCCACAACACTTAAACTACGCATCAAACAGATGGGAACAGGTAAGGAAACCTTACTTTGTGACACATCTACAGGTAGGGATCGCCCAATCGTGCCGAAACATTATCGACGCAATGTCTTCAACACATTGCACAAACTTTCTCATCCAGGTGTTCGTGCAACCATCAAGCTTATAGCAGAACGATTTTGCTGGCCTGGCATGAATAAAGACGTGAGGGAGTGGGCACGCTCCTGTGTAAGCTGCCAAAAATCTAAGGTTATCAGACACAATAAATGTCCCTTAGGCTCGTTTAAAACTCCCGATGCTCGTTTCGACCATGTTCATCTGGATTTGGTAGGACCTTTACCAGATTCAAATGGATACTCTTATCTCTTAACCTGCGTAGACCGTTTCACTCGATGGCCAGAAGCAGTACCTATCAAGGACAGCACTGCTGAAACAGTGGCCCGCACATTCGTCGAACGATGGGTAGCAAACTTCGGTTGCCCTTCAACCATCACTACAGACCGCGGACGTCAGTT